GAGAGGGAAGCAAGAGATCACCAAGCTCCCTGATTCTGAGCTCAGATCTCATGCCACCATCTCTGCCTGCCTGGTCCTCTGTTGGTGCAAGGGCTGAGGGTCCCAGAGAGAGTCTGAGCCATGTGAGGCTGGTGGCTGACGGGATGCCCCGCTTGCAGGTGGTACAGCTGAAGGCCGTGTTCCCGCATGGCGCAGGCTTCGTGCTGGCCTTCGAGTTCATGCTGTCAGATCTGGCTGAGGTGGTGCGCCACGCCCAGAGGCCGCTGGCCCAGGCGCAGGTCAAGAGCTACCTGCAGATGCTGCTCAAGGGGGTCGCCTTCTGCCATGCCAACAACATTGTGCATCGAGTCAGTTCCAGCATGGGCTGGGGTGGGACCTGGGGTGGTGGTGGCTGGGCTGTGGGTAGGCCAGCCCTTGATGAAGGGCATGGTTAGAAAAGGGACAGAGGGGCAGGGCCTATGGGTAGGAGGCCAGGGCTGGGGCCCTGGAGGAGGTCTGGTCTTGCGCTGACCTGGGTGCCCAGCCTGCCAAGCCGTCCTATCCCGAGGTTCTGTGGGGGCTCTGGAGGAACTGATGCCTCTTTTGGTGCTCTCAGGACCTGAAACCAGCCAACCTGCTTATCAGTGCCTCGGGCCAGCTCAAGATAGCGGACTTTGGCCTTGCCCGGGTCTTTTCCCCAGATGGCAGCCGTCTCTACACGCACCAGGTGGCCACCAGGTAGGGAGGACCAGTTCCCAAGCAGGACCTAGCAATAGACAGGCCCCAACCCTCCTGTTAGGAAGAGGTGCTTCTGGACCCTCTGTCCAAACAGTGCTCTTGGGGCTGGTGTGGGGGCCAGGATGACCTTCCGAGGCAGCTTCCTGACAGACCGGTGACCTGGCTGTGACCACCTGCCCTCCTCTCACAGGTGGTACCGAGCCCCTGAGCTCCTGTATGGTGCCCGCCAGTATGATCAGGGTGTCGACCTGTGGTGAGACTCCTATGGGCTGGGCAAGGGGAAATGTGGGTCGTTGGGTCACCTTTTCCTCCTGGGCATTGAGGTCTCTAAGCCATTTAGGGGTTTTCCTGCCGTGAGCTCTAGGTTGCCATGGGGGTGTCTCCCCTGGTTAGAGTATCTCTGAGGAGTTTGGGATCAGTGTTCCTCCCCTTGACAGTTTTGAGCTGGGAGGGGTCAAGTGGGATCAGAGTGGTTGTCCCAGTAGGAAGCTTCTGGGCTGAGGTCGGGGAGGTGGTCTGAGGCGTGGGGCATCTAAGCTGCTATGCAGGGGGTGATATCCCAGGTTGCAATATTCCTGAGCTATCTAGAGGCCTGGGTCCCTGGGTATGAAGGCCCTGAACCTTTATTTGGGGTAGGATGGTTTGTATATGCCTAAGAGTTTGAGATTTGGGGGCCGTTTTGGAGTCTGCCCCAGAATGGGAGGAGGTGGCAGTGTGTCCCAGAATGTGAGGCTCTGAGAAGTCTCAGAACTGTTGAGGGGTTGATGTGTGTTCCAGAGTTGAGGCCTGAGAGCTGTTTAGAGAGGGGGATATGCTCTGTGTTCTAGACTTGAAGTCTTTGACTGTTTGGGAATCTGTATCCTTAGCTATGAAGCCTGAAGTCTACTTTGTGGGTATCTTGACCGCAGTGTGAGGTGTGGGTGCTGGTGTGGGGAGATCTGTTTCCATGGTGTGAGATCTCTGAGTTGTTTGGGTTCTGTATCTGCAGGGCTGTGGGCTGCATCCTGGGGGAGCTGTTGAACGGGTCCCCCCTTTTCCCAGGGGAGAATGACATTGAACAGCTTTGCTGTGTGCTTCGAATCTTGGGCACCCCCAGTCCTCAAGTCTGGCCGGTTTGCAGGGGCCTACAGTGGGGAGGGGTGGGGGCGGGTGGCTTCTATTACCCCAATAGCTAGTGACTCCCCTGACCCGCACCTTCTCTCTCGTGGCCCCATGCCTCCTTGACTTCCCGGACCTCGGTCCTGGCCCAGCGTGGGATCTCCTCCACCCCTGCCCTGCTGGAGGTGGGAGGGCCAGGCCCCAAGCCCTATCCCTTCCCACCCGTCCCCAGCACACACGCATTCAGACCGAGCAGGGCATGGAGCAGGCGCCTGAGATGTGGAGGAAGGACTGAAGGACTGAGTGAGCACGTGATGTCATGAGTGACATGTGAGCAGGGGTGCATGGATGGGGGAGTGATGAGTGAATGGGAGCAGGTAGGTGACAGGGAGCGAGAACTGACACCTAAGGGGGCTGGCGGTGTGGGTGCCGGCCCTGATGGACCCCCTTCTCCTCCAGGAGATCAAGGACCTGCCTGACTACAACAAGATCTCCTTCAAGGAGCAGGCTCCCGTGCCCCTGGAGGAGGTGCTGCCCGATGCCTCTCCCCAGGCCTTGGACCTGCTGGGGCATTTCCTCCTCTACCCTCCACGCCAGCGCATTGCAGCCTCCCAGGTAGGGTGACACCCGTTGCCCTGACCTTCCTCGTCTGTGCCCTTTTGACCCAGCAGGTTGAGATTCTCAGAACCTGTGATGGGCTGGGACCAGAACCCCTGGAGCCAGGGGTAGGAGGGTGCAGGGCAGGTGTGCCTCTCCTGAGTGGATCCTAGAGGGGACCCTAGAGGGCAGGTGGCCAGGGGTGGCCCATTAGAAGGGCATGCACACCTCGCAGAAGAGAGAGTCTCAGGTTATTGTTGACTCGCTTCTTCATCCCTTCAACAAGAATTTACTAGCATGTGGCACGTGCTGAGCATTGTCCTGGACCCTGATCCAGAGTGAACAGACATGACTTGTGCCTGTGGGGTCTCCACCCTGTGGTGAGGCAGGGCTGTCAGTCTGTGGGAGCCGAGGGGAGGGTTGTTGGGACTGACTTTGGGGTCATGCAAGGCTTCCTGGAGAAGGGCAGGTTTAAGCATGGGGAGCTGTTTTCCCAAGAGAAATGATGAGCAGAAGCCTGGAGAGGAGGACCCAGGAGGGGTGGGTTGTGGCTGGAAGGCAGGGGAGGAGGGGAGGACCATGGGCTGATGGCTGATGGTGTGAGGGCCTCTGTCGGGTGTACCTGGCCATCTGGCCTCATGGCAGCCTCTCCTCCCTGCCCTTGGCACTAGCAGCGTGTGTTTACACATGGCCCTGGCGAGTTCCCATGTCAGCAGCACCTTCAGAGTGTACTGAGGCCAACTGACCACCTCTCAGCCCCCTGCTGCTGCCTCCAGCCTAAGCACCACCGCCCCCCTCCCCAATCGCCTCCCAGAATCTGCTTCTCCTGCCCATTTAGTCTCTCCTCCACGTGGCAGAGAGAGGGACCTTGTCCAGGTAGGCTGTCGTATCCTCACCTGCAGGGCCCTCCTGGGGCTCCCTCAGAGGAGAAGCCAGGTCCTAGTGGCCCACAGGCATCACACATTTGGGGCCATGACCTCTGTGACTCTGCCAGCTCCCATTCCCCTTGCTCACTCCCCTCGGGCCCCAGGGATCATCCATGTTCTGGGGGTCTGTGCATTTCTGTCCCGAGGCCTCACTCATTCACCTTTCAGGTCTCTGCTTGAACGCCACCTCCCAAGGGCCTCCCCTCACCATTCTTCAGGCCTGCAGCCCCTCCAGTATTCCTCATCCCCCCCTCATACTTTTCTCTTTGCCACAGCACTAATCATTTGATGCACTGTTTGTCTTACTTCTTTATCGTGTTTATTACCCCCACCCCTCACTTTGTGGAAAACTTGAAGGCAGAGCTCTTTGTTCTGTTTACCGCTGCATCTCCTGTGTCTGGAGCAGTGCTCAAACAGTGAGCACTCCGAGGTGTTGGAGTCACCTGAACGATGAGCAGATGAAGGAAAAATACTCTTCAGGGCAATATTCACATCTCCTCCTCGGCGGGAAGTGGCTGAAGCTGGGACGGGGAGGTGACCAGTTTCCTTTTGCTGCCCCTTGCTTGCTACCCTCAGGCCCTCCTGCACCAGTACTTCTTCACAGCTCCCCTGCCTGCCCACCCCTCGGAGCTGCCGATTCCTCAGCGCCCAGGGGGACCTGCCCTCAAGGCCCCCCCAGGACCCCCCCACATCCATGACTTCCACGTGGACCGGCCTCTCAAGGAGTCGCTGTTGAACCCAGAGCTGATTCGGCCCTTCATCCTGGAGGGCTGAGACGTTGGGCCAGGCCCCACCGGCGTGTCCCCCCCTTCCCTCCCCAGGACAAGCCAGGCCTCTTGTTCTTCTGCTCCGGCCTGATTTGACCACAGTGGTCCTGCTCCTGGCCAGGCCATCCAGCCTCAGTAGAGGGGACCCTCAGCCTGTGCTGTCGGCCTCCCATCTGTGTGCTGGTAACAGATCCATCAGAAGGAGGCAGTGAGTTCCGCTGTCATGCCTGCCATGGGGCTGGTTCTCTAGTTGCTGCCTTCCTGGTCAGGGTCAGTCCTGGTAGAGCCATTTGGGGGAGTGCTGAGTTTAGGATGTCCTCATGTCGGAAATCCAAGTGGGAAGGAAAGTTTGGGTTGATCTTGTTCTCAGAGACATTAAACACTAGTTCACTTTTGAGATTTATTATAAAATCCCCCGGTAGTTCTACGTGATGTATGCCCCTCTTCCTTTCCAGTTGAGGGAAGTGGCTGAGGTAGCATCATCCCCTGGCCCTTGCTTTCTGTGGTCAATGGGAAAGTGGCCCCATTCATGGCTACTTTACTCTTGGGGGATTGCTAGGTGCTTCATGTGACAGAGCTCCCTTTTGGAGGTGAGTTGGCAGAAATCAGGACCCAGGAATGGCTCAAGTTGGGGACCCAATAAGTGACCCTCCACACCTTAAGCTGGTTTACCAACATCACCCTCAGGATACGGGTGAGCCTGGACCACATGGGCCTCCTCTTTACTCAGAGATACTGGGCAAATAAGAAGACAGACATTCCTGGAACTCATTTGTTAATTCAGTAAATCCCAATACAATCTGAACTGGCTCTTGTTTTTCTTATTAAATAATTTGGTAAGCCAATTCTAAAATATATGTGGAAATGAACGGGTTAAGAGGCAGAAGCAGAAGAAAAGGCAAAAAAAAATGATGAAAGGACTTACCCTATCAGATACCAAGACTATCATAGGGCTGTAATAAATAAGCAATGTGGTATTGGTTCACAGATAGATAAAAACAGATAAATCAGAGAAACTTATTCTTAGCAATCTTCTTAAAATATTCATTTTGTGCTCATGTGGATAGAATTCTATAAGCACTGCAGTCACAGAGGTGACTAACAGTGCCACAGTCACTGCCCTCCAAGCTCTTAGAGGGCAAAGCACAGTAAACTCCAGTTGTTGCTTTCAGGGAAGAGTCTGAGTGTCTCATATGTGTTTAGAGGTGTTTTAAGGATCTGGCCTTTGCCTGTTTGTCCAGCCACATCTGTAGATTCTAAGCTTCAGTCTAGCTCAGTTTCTGGTGTCTCTTACCTCCGTATGAATGCAAGTCTGTACCCAAACCCTGACCACTGACCCTCAGCCAGTTCCACTCACAAAGACTAAAGCTTACTCCACCCTGACATTGACCCTCACCTTGACCATAAACCTTACACTTAACCTGACCCTATCACCCTGACCCTGACATAGACACTGACTCTCACCCTCAATTCTTTGCCAGCCCCTTCCCCACCCATGCCTGGCTTTGATCTTGGCATTGACTCTGACCCTCACCCAAACTCTGACCCCGTTTGACTTAGAACTAAACCTTGTCCATGAACTTGGCTCTCATCTTCACCTTAACCCTGACTCTCTAATTGACATTCCTCTTACCTTGATGCTCATTATGATCCTGATCGTTAACATGTCCCTCACACTTGCCCTGAACTTGACTTACCTTTGACAATGACAGCTTCTCTCACACTGATTGTGAATACTGTGATAAATGAGATACTCACCACCTTCAATCTGATTCTGACCCTCAACTTCACTCTGCCCCTAGACTGAATCCTCACCTTGACAAGGACCATCATACTGACCCACCCTGCCCTTGAACTTGTGCCTTGATGCTGAACTACACTGTACACTCAACCTGAAACTAGTCTGCACCCCAAGCCTGACCATGATCCTGATCCTGACACTCATCTTGACGTAGACCTCCATTTCACCCTGACCTGGGTCCTCATCCTAATGCTGAGCCTCACACAGAACATGGACTCACACTTGGCTGTCACCGTTGACACCCTAATCCCATCATGACCTTGAACCTGATCTAGACCCTGACCCTGAAATTGAACTTCACACTGACACTGACTTTCATTATTATGATGACTCATCCTCAGCCTGATCGTCACCTTCATCTTGACCCAGCCTCACTTTGAAACTTAACCTTGAACTTGATTTTGACTATAAACCAAACTCTGACCCTCTGTGGTAAGCAGAATAATGTGCCCCCCCCAAAGATGCCCATGTCCTAACCTGTGAATACGTTGCCTTACACACAAAAGGGACTTTGCAAATGTGATTTAAGGGTACAGACTTTGAGATGGAAAGAGTATCCTGGATTATGCAGATTGGGCCAATGTAATGGGGTTGGGGGGAGGGAGAGTTGGAGGAGGAGGACTTAATTCCTTCCAGCAGCAATAGAAAGGGAACCCACCTTGACTTTTAATTGACCTTGACCTTCACAATGAACATCATGCTCATCCTGACCCTGACATTACCTCACATTGATCTTGACCCTGAACCTGGCACTGACTCTAATCTTGAACATCAACCTCACCCTCACCTTGACCCTGAATCCTACACGGAACTGGACATCCACTGTCAACTTGAATCCAACTTTCAATCTTACTTTCACCCTGACAATAACCGTCATCCTAATCCTGACATTCATCCTCTCACTGATCCTCTCTAATGGAGCCTCAACCTGATCCTAACCTTGGCTCTCACACTGATCTTGAACCGAACCCTGGATCTAAAATTTCCCTTATACTGACCTTGTCCTTGAACCTGATTCTGACACCATGACCCTGACCATTCTCTTATCTTGATCCTTAACCTGACATAGAATTTTACCTTGAATTGGACACTCACCCTCACTCTGATTCTGATCTTAATCACTCTGTCCCTGATCTTACCCTCATCCTGACTGTGACCCTGGCTGCTGTGACATTGAGCTTGATCGTGACCTTCACCCTTACACTAACTCTGATCTGATCTTGGCCAGGGCCACGACCAAAACCAGGGTCGGGGCTAAGGCTAGGTAGGGTGAGAGCCTGGGCAGGAGCCATGATGAGGGAGGTATCAGGTTAGGGCCAGGGCTTGGGCAAAGGCCAGTGCCAGTGTAAGACGGAGGCTGAGGGTCATTCTGAATGTGATTGTGAAGGCCAGGGTCGGGGCTAGGGCAAAGCTCAGGATGAAGGTGTGTACTAGGGTGAGTCAGGGTCAGGTGAGGGTAGGAACAGGAGTATGGTAGATGTCAGATGCTAATGAAGTCAAGGGTGATGATTAGGGCGAGGTTGAGGAAGAGGGTCAAGGTCTGGATAAGGGCCGCCACCAGGGCAAGGGCTCGGAAGGTGCTGGGTTCAGGGGCACCACAAGGTCCCGCGTGAGGGTCAGGGCGAAGGTCAGAACGAGGATGAATGTCAGTATAAGGGGGTGGGCAAGGGTCTCAGCGAATGTCAGGACAAGGGCAGAAGCCAGTCTGAGGCCAAGTAGAAGTGGGGCTGGTGAGCGGATTAGTAGAAGTGGGTGTTCCGAAAGGAAGCGCGGAGGCTGGGCGAGGATTAAGCGAGCGGGCGGGGCTCGGCCTGCGGGGGCGGAAGCGCAGCAAAGGTGTAGCCCGACCCAGGCAGCCATGGGGGCGGGCGCTGTGGAGCCGCAGATGGGTTTGCACGAGCTGCTGCATGTGTTTTTGGAGGCCCGAGACATGCTCTGCGTCGCCCAGGTGGACAGGGTAGCGCGTCCTGTCCCAGGCGGGAGGCAGGGCTGGGCTCGTGGACACTGGCGTGTCCACGGTCGGCCCGTCCCCTCGGAGCCTCAGTTTCCCAAATCTGGGAGGGGGCGTCGGACGGCCCGGAATCCGCGATCTGCAGAGGGCGCTTTTGGCCCCCGGGGTGGCGACCTCGGCGACCTATGAAGGGGTCTCTCTGAAAGCCTCTTATCCCTCCGTCCCTCCGTCCCTCCGTCTGTCGGTGTGTCCAGAGCTCCTGCGCGGTTGGCTTGCACCGGGCACCTGTGAACAGGGTTCACCCCTAAGATTGGCCTAGGGATCCCCACCTCTTCTGGAATATTCTGGAATTTCCCTTCTGAGGCCTGCCTGGAAAGCCGTGCTCTCCCCGTGAGTGGCACCTCCTCCTGCGGACTCCGCCTGTCCCTTCCCAGCCAGTCGAACTGTACTGGCTGTGCGCCCTAAGTGCCTGTTTAGTGCATTAGTCTGATCAGCGCTTCTGCCCCTGTTGTGTTCCGAGCTCTTCCTCCTCTGTGCTCTTACGCAGCACAACTGTAACTAAATGATCACATACTGTACTTGTTAAATGTTTGCTTCCCCCCCCCCCCCGACCCCCGCTAGACTCATTCTTTTGTCTCTTGCATCGCTGTGTGTATAACCACTGTATGATCACTGTGTGTATACACTCAGCGTATGGCTTGATATTTCGTGTACTCTAAGTAAATGTTTGTTGAGTAAATGAATTTCTTTACTTTTAAAATACATTATTATATCATTTTACAAAAAGATTAATAAACAGACCCTTACCTGAATTGTGTAATTATAACTTAAATGTATCAAGTAAAATACTGCGTTGTTATCCCCATTTTTACCAATAGGGAAAGTATCATGCCGTGAGTGCATTGGCTGAGGTCACCCAGGTAGTCTCCCAGCAGATTTTGAAAGGGAGGTGCCATTTACCCTTTGATAGCAGCAACTTCTCCAGGTTCTGGTTTCCCTGTTAGGTAAAATGAGGTCAATAAACCCTGCCTCACAGTGTCATCATGAAGATCAGCATCTAACAGAGGCATTCTCCAAGGTGGGTAATACCCATTTTGCAGGCTATATTACATACTATAATTTTATGTTAGGGAAGTAAGAACACCTCAATTGGGTTTTGAACCGGGAACTATAGAAAAACAGAATGCGGAAATCTTCTTACTTGGTTTGATTATTGCAAAATATCAACTTTACATTCCTACTAGCCAAAAAGATTTCTTAAGGACTGAGAAACTTTGATTTCGGGTGAGTGAGGGCTGTGGAAGTAGGAACCTGGGCTCAGACAGGGTGGTTGTTATTTCTGCCAGGGCCTGGAAAGCCACGTATCTGGATGGGACCCTCAGTAGGTCTGGGCCACAGAAAGCTCCAGAGTGGTTTCTACTGAAGCTGTATAGGCCCCAGAATCCAGGGTGGCCCAGCTGGAGAGGCCAAGAAGTTCCAGGATGCAGGTGTGGGCCTGAGGGAGGGGGAGGCAGGGTACTCTGATCCCTTCCCAGGGCCACCTGAATCTCTTCCAGATACTTCTGCAGAGAGCAGTTTGTGGGAATAGGGCCTGTGTGCCCTCCCCAGGTAGCAGTTCTGTTCCTTCACCTTGGCATCTCTGGGACATCCCTTTAGCCAGAGCCTTAATTTACTCCATTGCAGCAGCCTTCTTATGGGTCCTGCTGCTCTGCCCTCGTTTCCAGTCCTTCCTTCTCTCTCTCTCTTTTTTTTTTTTAATTGGCCCTACCACGTGGCTTACAGGATCTTACTTCCCCAACCAGGGATCCAACCCATGCCCCTTACAGTGGAAGCTCAGAGTCTTTTTTTTAAAAAACTATTTATTTATTTTGCTGCATCGGGTCTTATTTGCAGCACACAGGATCTTTGTTGTGGCACGTGGGATCTTCCATTGCGGTGCACGGGCTGTCTAGTTGTGGCACACAGGCTCTAGAGCGCTCATGGGCTTAGTTGCCCCAGCATGTGGGATCTTAGTTCCCCGACCAGGTATCCAACCTGTGCCCCCTGCATTGGAAGGCGGATTCTTAACCATTGGACCACCAGGGAAGTCTCCAAATCCTTCCTTCTCATAGCAGCCTAAAACACAGTTTGACTTGCCACTTTTCCATTCACAGTTCTCACTGTTTTTGCCCTTCTGACTTCCAAGAGTTGGTCTAAGCCTGTCTCCAGCTCCTTTCTCTATGTTCTGATTAAGGCAACTTACTCATCATCTTTTTCATACTTCTGAATCTTTGCCCAAGTGGATCTTTCTCTCCCTGAAATACTTCAGCCATTTTCTTAGAGGATAACTGCTCATCCTTCAGGAGTTGATCAGTAATTACTTCTGAACCCCTTGGCTCCAACTGAGTTGGTCATTCTCTCCTTTGTCATTCATTATTTGGTGTGTTTTATTTGATTGTCTGAATTTGTCTCTAACTCCCCACGGTGAGTGTTCTTGAGTGCAAGCACTGGGTCTCATTTAGCTCTCTGTCCCCTCCACAGGGCCTGGCAGGCTAGGCACTAATTGCATGTTGACTGACCAGATACTCTTCTAGGTCTGGAATGAGGCTTCAAGGACCAAGGAACTGTGGAGGTGAGTGGAGGAAGAGCCAGGCCTGCTCAGGAGAGTATCCCTCAAAGGAGAGAGGGGTGTACTTTTCAGCACTCACTGCGTTTCTGCTAAGTAGACAAGAAGGGACAATCCACAGCCCTTACCAGCAGGAAACTCCTCCCTAGATGGGGGTGTGAGACTTTTTTTATAGTGTATTGAAATATAAGCGATTTTGTTAATCAACTGGAGGTTGATGTAGGTGGGGGTGCCAAACTCAGGGGCAGAAATGTACAGCAACTTGAATGCAGCTGGCTGATAGAAAAAATCAATAGACAAATGAACCACTTTTATTTGATTTCAACTTTGGTGTAACAACATAGTTATATAAGCGTGTTTGATATTAGAACTTAAATAAAATTCAAAAAATTAAAAGTAGAAAATAAAAAATATTTTAATAATTAAATTATTAAATTTTTCTTTTCTGTTCATTCCTCCTTTGGAACCTGACATCTTTTCTTTTGTCCCAAGGGGTAAGTGTCAGATCTTCTGCCTCTTGTAGTATATAGGAGAGACTATATAGCCTTGACTATCAACTAGGAGCTACATTTAGTTTTAGTCTTTCCTTATGGAAAACAACTGTTCACATGAAGTTTCCTCCAAACATGGAGGGAATCTTTGCTTGATGGTTTTTATTTTTATAATAACTGTGAATTGATAAATTTGAGAATTGTGGAATGCCAATCTTGCCATATTTAGTTTTCAGTATCATACAGCACTGTTCTGTTTGTTGCTTTTTATTCATTTTTTTATTGCTAATCATACTAATTAGAAAAATGATGTTAATCTCTAGTCAATTTTAAAGTAAGGGAACTTTTACTGGATTTCAGTCTTTATCGCTACAATTTGGGGAATGTACTCTACATAGAACATTCAATTCTGGAAATTGATTTCTCTGTAGATAAGTGGACAAGAGAATGTCTTGCCAAATGTGATTCTCAAAGACACTGTGTCACTAGAAATAAATGAGTTGACTCATAGATTGGTGTAACTATTTGTGGAAGCCCTTGGAGGGCAATTCTCACAGTTGAAATGGGTAGGATGCCAACCCTAAACCCTAGTCTTTGTTCTCATCTTTACTGATAAGCTGGGGTAGGAATTTCCCTTTGAGTAACATAAGTAATATATTTCTTTCAGCAGTTCATAAAATCTCTTGAGCAGCTTATCACCTAACCCCCACATGTATGCATGTGTTACCATATTGTGTGTACCTCCAGGTTCCTCAAGCCGATTCTTCAGCTGTCTGCAAGCCAAGTCATGAATGGGTTTTCGGTTCATTACTATTTTATAGTTTTTGGTGCTAAACTCTTTTTAGCCTACAGTCATTCTTTGGTATGGTATCCTTGACCTATGTTTATATAAAAAACACTGGGTTTATGTTTCTGGAACTAGGACAACTGCAACAGCATTCCAGGAGCATCGTCACATGCACGTGTCATTTCTAATGTTATATCTGTCATGGGTACTAGGCCCCAAAACTCTCCAGGCCCATAGAAACTCTTACGGGCACAGTAATGAACATGGTTAACCGGTCATATGTTTTTAATATGTACTCTATAATTCTAATTTAAAACACTGCAAGTTACTTCTTTAAAATGCTTCATGACCTTTTAAATTCTGCCATCTCTTTAACACACTATGCGTTAGATTTTTGGTTAAAAGTAAAATTGCAAATATTTGCTTTTGTTTAAGCAAAATATATATATATATATTTTTTGTTTGTGTACAGTAGATTGTTCTGCTGTTAATTGCTTTCTGAAAGGTTTTGGTGCCATGGTGTTTTTTCACTTGATACATCCTTGTATTTCAGAGGCTTATCTCATACTTTACTCATGTGCACACTTCAGCCTTGTTGACAGTCTGCCTTTTTTTGGTCAAATCACTTGGTTTTATTTCTTCTGAATATTGGTTATGGTTCCTACTTATGGTTTGATGTATAATGGCCTTAAATATGTAGAAATAGATTTCACTTCCACAAAGAAATGTTATCCCCCCTTTTTTTTAAACCACATTATCTTCTTAGTCTAGCTTTTATTTTCACACTGTTTAGGTTGAGATATGGGTACAAGAAATTTCCCTTTCTGTTTATTTCAACTAAAAGAAAGTCAACAACATAAGAATGATGATGTGAGGCAGCTGATACTCAGCCTCTTAGTCCAAGAGATAAAAGGGATGGTGAAGGCCATGGTGGAGCTGAAAGCTCATTCTTTTTTTTTTGGCTGTGCCATGCGGCTTGCAGGATCCTAGCTCCCCAACCAGGGATCGAACCCAGGCCCTCATCAGTGAAAGCACAGAGTCCTAACCACTGGACCACCAGGGAATTCCCTGAAAGCTCATTCTTGTCTGAGGAGTACCGTTCTGTGTGGCCCCAGATAAATTTTTCCAGGTGAGAATTTGATTTCAGTATAGCTAGAGATCTTCTTCTTTTACCTAATTTGTATGTGAAATCTCTTGATTTTTAAGTATTGACAGCTAGTTCAAGTAGGCCAATCCTATGCAGGCCAGACAAGGTAATCTGGTTGCCCATTCTGCCTGCAGGCTGTGAGTATGCTACTTCTGGTAGAAGGAACAGGGTTTCAGTGAGGACAGGAAAACCCATATCCGACATAAGCACTGGATCCTTCCCAGTGTGTTAGAGGTCACTAGTGCCTACTACAGAGCCTGACACATAGGTGCTCAGTGAGTGTACAGGCTTTGAATGGAGAGAAACTCTTTGCATTGTACTTATTGGGACCATGGGCTGTGAGCTACTTATTTCCCACCCAGCCTCATTTTTCTCCTCTGTGAGATATGACTGGAGTCCTCTGATGCTGTATCAACTCTGGTGACTGTAAATTTTGAAAGCCTTTGTCCATGGGGCCTCCCTAATCCTCTCCCAGATGTTCACTCTCCTTGTGCTTTACTTCCATGGCACTATAGGCTGCCCCTTCTGAAACTTAGCATTTCTCTCCAGAATTTTAGTTTTACTTATCCTCCTAACCACCATTTGAGAGTACTCGTAGGGCAAGGGCCATGTCTCACTCACTTTGGGGTCCACAGACTAGGTGGGGATTCAGTATTCTCCATAGTGTGGATGAGCTAATGTTTTATCTTCAACAGCCTTATAAGCGAGTTGCTATCATAGAATTGTCAGTAGTTATTGATACATACAAGTTAAGGATGCAGACTCTTGGAAAATGGTGGATTAATGACTTCTGAAAATTTTCTGTTCCACAAAAGCAATGAGAAAACTGGCATAAATTGTCAAAATCAACTTTTACAGAACTCTGGAAATTAACCAGAGACTTACAGTAGTCTGGGAAGTGTTTATTCAAGAAAAAAATGGCTTATTCTCAGTAAGAGCAGCAAGTGTTCACTTACTCTGTTCCCATAACAACCTTCCAGCTTTGTGTTAGCCTTGAATACCAACAGTTCACAATCACAGTGAAACCAGGAGCTGCAGTCACTGGAAGGGTAAGAATGGGATTAGAGATTCTTCAAGGCCTTATTCCCAGAGAATTGTCATTGTTCAACCTGTCTGGTGTTTCCTGGAAGAGCTCACATGTAAGCTGTCTTTATTTTACCTTGCTTGAAGTTTACCCAATGTGAAAAACCTTTACCTTGGGGCATCTGTCAAGACAACTAAAGAGAATTGATTAACATTTTTTTTTTTTTGTTTTTTTTTTCGCGGTACACAGGCCTTTCACTGTTGTGGCCCCTCCCGTTGTGGAGCACAGGCTCCGGACACGCAGGCTCAGCGGCCATGGCTCACAGGCCCAGCTGCTCCGCG